ATATTAAAAAAAAAGGTAAAAGAATTTAAAATGTAGGAAAGTTACAAACAACAAACATCAGCTGTAATGTCCTGAACCAGCTGAATCTTTTTAATACGAGTGTTTAACCAGCTGAAGTTCTGCTCATGACGTGAGCTGATGGTTTCACTGCGTTCTGTCCATCGTTCTCTGGTTCATGCCGTTTGTTGCATCATCAAAGCTGCGGCTTCTTTTTTACACTTAACGTTTTAGTTTCTCCTGATTCACTGGAGCCAAGAGCAGCCAGAGTCACTCTCCTTCTTGTAAGAAGCACACGGCCGAACAAGAAGCAGCTAGTGTCAGAAACAAACACGCCCCACAGGACACAACCGGCCATGAATGCTACAGCTAGCTGCTGCTGCGCTCTCCTCTCCTCCGTTCATGATCTGGGTCCTTCCCTCTCCTCTTCCCCCTCACTGAGCACCAGAACTACAACGGCCGTAAGAACACAGAGACATCAGCGCTGCCATTTGTGAAGAACAAAGAGGAGAGAGAGAAATATTTAACCCTTAGCTGCTTCGGCTGATGATCCCTCTCCAAACAGCCGCAGAGCTCCATCTTCATGAAGCAGTCGGAGATAAATCGGCCACGTTTGTGACCAGTTTCACACAAACGCTCTTCATTAGAAGAGGATTAAAGAAGTGGAACAAAAACGAGAACGAGCCGGACAATGCGACTTTGTTTGGCTTCGGCTGATTAATACAGCATGTTGCCCGAGTGAGCAGCTAATGCAGTTGTGATCTCTGGAAGGCCACGAGCATCACGAGCACAGCGTGAAGAATGCCAGAGAAAATGATTTTGAACGGAGCGGCTAATTAAAAGGCAGATCAACGAGACCCAGGAGATGAAACCATCCAAAGGTTTTCTGAGCGTCCGCAGAGTTCGAGCCCAGCTGTGGAAGAAATGACAAGAATCCAGCTGAAAACGAGAAGAACCACTGGAAATGTTGCAGAGCCCATACAGCTGCAAATAAAGAGCCACTGTTTCTTAAGGAGCGCATCATTTCCTGCCGTTTAGACTCTTCTGAGGAGAGATGAGTCCATTCGTTCTGGTCAAACCTTGGACATGACAACTTGCACAATACGACGTGTTGCACGAGCGCTCCCAGCATGTGTTGAGGACGACTCTCAGCTACTACCACATCAACGTTTAGTTCTACAGCTGTAAACTGGACTCTGACAGACATGTGTCATAGCATCAGTTGGCAATGGCAGCCATCTTGAATTGAGTTGCTACCCAAAGCTATTCATTTGTACATGTGCATCCAAAGATCACTTCCTCAGAGTTTCATTCAAACCCAGCAGGTGGTCCATGAGATATTTTGCTAACAGACAAACTGTGGTAAAACTAAATGGTATTGCCAAGTTTAAGCAAAGATCTTGTGTATTGTGTGTAGCTCTCTAAATAGGAGTTGAGAACGATGCTCAGCTACCGACACACCAAACATCTGGAAAATGACCTGAAGCCGTTTGTGTTTCCCAGCAGCAGTTAGCTGTGGCGGCCATCTTGAAATGCAATGGCTCAAAAGGTTGTGGAGGTTTAATCAACAGTTAAGTCCTGGAAGCTTCACTGAACTCAGTCCAGTGGTTCATGAGATATTTTGCTAACAGCAGACAGAGTTTAACAGTTACTGGCCAAGTTTTAAAAACAGATCTGTAAGGATGGTACTTTTCTGTGGCCCGGTTTGTGTCTGTTTCCCTCGTGCTCCCTCATTAGTTTCCATTGTTGCCACCTGTGTCTCGTCCCAGCTGTTTGTCATCATGTCTCGTCTTCTCACAGTATTTAAGCCGTCCTATTCTGTCTTGTCCTTTGTCGGGTCGTCTTCGTTGGTACTCTCCCTTGGGTCTCCTGAGTCTTGCCCTGAGTCTTTCCCTGAGTCTTCCTGGTCCCTCGAGTTCCCCGTGTCTCCTGAGTTCCCCGTGCCTCCTTCCTTATTCATGTAAGTTTTGCTGCCCCGTCAGCTTGTTTATTTTGTACTTTTATTTACCATTAAAACATATTTTTTGTACATCTGCCGAGTTGAGTCCCTGTTCTGCACTCTGGGTTCGCTCCTAACCACAAACCATGACAAGATCTTGTGTAGCCCTCAAGGTTTGTGCTGCTGATGACTCTCAGCAACCACCACACCAAGCTGAGCTGTAAAAGTATTTGAGCTGTGGCCATGTTTGTGTCTGCCATGGTCACTTAGCTGTGGCGGCCATCTTGAATTGGATTACAAAATGTAACGAGTGACAAACGTACATCCAATGACACGTCACTCGAAGTGTTCATCATATAAACTCTTGAACTACATCTGTCGATTTATCGCAGTTTGATCAATACACTTTGTGTGAACATCAATACTGTGACGACAACAAAGTGCTGAGTCCTCATGCAGCCTTCCAAAACCAGTTTGGATTTCCATAACAAGAGCACAGATACGATCCTTTATTCTTGAACGTTGAGCATTTAGCAGGTCTCTACAGCCGAACGAGGCTCGAGCTGCAGAAACTATGAGGCTAGCAGGCGAGAGCGCCGCTGACACGAGCTGAACATCCCATAAGCTGCACACGGAGGACACCGCTGCTTCCTGCACCACCAGTTAGCATCATTTCACCTGACGGGCCTCTAATACCAGTGGTAATGATGGCAACCAGGTCATAGGTCAAATATACGGATTTAATCCAGTCCAAGTCACGTGACAAACTTTATTACTGCTGCAAAGAGCAATGATGCTGAGGCCTGTGTGTGTGTGTGTGTGTGTGTGGGGGGGGGGGGGGGGCAGTAGCGTTAACAAAATATCTCATGAACCACTGATTTGGGCTTTAATGAAACTTCACAAAGTGATTATGTGTTGACGTCTGCAGCTGGTGACGCTCAACACAAACGAGTGGTTCAGTGAAATGTGCAGATTGAAGTTTGGTGTCGCAGCTGAAAGAGGCTCAGCACGTGCGCCGAGCACAAACTGCTCGATGTTACAATACGTGATCGTTTTCCATCAGCAGCGTGGGCGATGTGCACGTTTCCAAACATTTGTAACCTTTTATTGCTGTCATATCCCACTTGTGGAAGCACGCTCGCACTGCAAACAGTTTAAAGTTGACTTCATCATGGAAAGGGCTGCATCGCCATCTGGTTCTCTACAAACTTTAAATATAGATTAATGTTTGATATCTGCTCATGAAGTGAAGTTTCATGAGGTCAAATAAAGAGAAGACACAACGTGTTTCAGAGAGATGCTGTGTCCCAATACTGAAACAACAATCGTTGATTCTTTTAACTGATGCTGATCAGGTGCATGGATCAGCATCAGGATCAGCATCAGCATCAGGATCAGCATCAACATCAGAATCAGGATCAGCATCAGGATCAGCATCAGCATCAGGATCAGCATCAACATCAGAATCAGGATCAGCATCAGGATCAGCATCAGGATCAGCATCAGCATCAGGATCAGCATCAGGATCAGCAGGGAGCCCCCAGGTTTACACTGAGCAGCAGCAACAGCTTCATTTATTTTATACAAAGTCAATAATGTTACACTTAAAGTGGCGTTTATTCTTTTCATGGGGACTATACTGATATTTACATTTGGCTGCTCCTCGATTAACAGTTAATCAATAGTCTCGTGCTCTTGCTGCTCTCTGGTCCAGTGGTGATCAGAATAAAGCAGCAGGAATGAAGATTATTGTAAAGTTCAACTCAACGATGCTCAGGAATAGAAGTAGGCCAGCTGTTCTCTGAACTGCAGACTGTCAACAAAACTGTTCTAATCCTGACAAACTAGATATAATCTGGATTAAAATAAAGCAGCTTATAGCCGGAGCCAAACGAGCCTTGACTTGATGTTTTAGGGATTCAGATGTTCTGACAGGTTTGCTTTAAGGTCATGATGTGCAAATTCTCAAAGTGTAAGAAATGGCTGCGTGCATCTTCTCATCCCATATTTTGGGTGATGTCGTGTTTGTCTTTGGACGTGTCAGGTTTTGTTTTTAGTCTCCATGCAGCAGAAGAAATGCAGATACTCCCGTTAACGCTTCTTGTCTCATCGACAGGACTCAAAAAGCCATAAAAGTGGTTTGATCTGCACCTGATCTGCTCTCTGAGGCAGAGACACTTGAAAGAGCTTCATCTTCTTCCCAGCGATGAGCAGATTGGAAGTGCATCCATCAGAGCTCAGCGTGCCAGCGTGTGTGCGTGTGTGCGTGTGCGTGTGCGTGCGTGTGTGTGTGTGTGTGTCCATCAGTCCTCTGAGTGAACATGTTATGAACCAGAATCTTCTCTGATTCCAGCGGGGGGCCTTGTGGGTCCCCGTGCAGTATGCTTTTGCAAATATAGCCCCCCCCCCCCCCCCCCCCCACACACACACACACACCCAGAGAGAGAAAGTGACTGTCATGGTGAACAAAGAGGTGGAGGAGGAAATTTTGAAAAGGAGTAGGGGGACAGCAGTGACATTTAATCTGTACAAATATTCTCCCCAGCAGACAATAATCTGTCTTTAATCTATTCTCACCCAGCCACCCGAGGGGGGGGGGGGGCGGGGGGGCTCTAATGACCGACCAGTCAATAAATCCATCCAAGTCCATCATATGACAAGAAACTCGTGAGAGCAGCTTGAAAGTTTGAAAGTGGAAGAAATTCACCTGCAGGTTTAAAAAATATGAATCTTTTGAACTACAGGCAGAACATTTTACACAAACAACAACAACAACAACAACAACAACAACAACAACAACAACAACAAGAACAAGAAAAACGTGCTGACTTCACTGCACGTGGCTGAACTCCAGCGTGCATCCAAACTTCTGCACAAAACATCTGACGCACATTGTTGCGCACAGAGCTCCAGCCCAAAACCAAACCGAGCCCGGAGCGTCAAGTGCATGTTGCTGAGCGGCTCGCACGCGCTTTGCAGCGGGCACCACGCGCCGGAGAGCAGCAGCGCTGCCTCCACATCCTGATCCACTCATCTACACCCGGAACCAGGTGGAGACACTTACCCATGAGCGCGTTCAGGAGGATCCCCAAAACCCGGCGGCGCCTCGTGGATGCCATGAAAACAGAGAAGACACAGTCCGAGGACAAAACAGTGAGTTTGTTAAATCAGTGAAATCCACAAATCCAGCTGCTGCTTCAGCAAATCCAGCTGCTGCTTCAGCACATCCAGAGCATCTTCAGACCGACGTGGAACAAGCGCTCGCCATTTTAACCATCTCTCTGTGAGCATCCCAGTCTGTATCCTCCTCACACTCTGCTGTATCCCAGCACTGCCTCTGTCTGTGTGTGCGCGCCCCTCTCTGTGTGTGCAACACACGCACGCACACACACGCACAAACACACAGAATCCCTTCTCTGAACAAAGACTGCTGACTGTTTGGCTCTGAACGCTTGAGAAAGCTGCAGGTTTCTGCATCAGCTCTGCAGAATGTTCAACCTGCAGAAACATGAGAAAAGGCTAAACAGAATCCATCCATCCATCCATCCATCCATCCATCCATCCATCCATCCAGCCAGCCATCCATCACAACCGTGTTGTTGTTGTTTTTGTATTGAACGCTTTTTAATTCGTGTTGTTTATGGTAAAAATAACCATTGATCATAATACATACACAAAGACATTCAGACATTTGGGTCAAACAAAGCAGGCGGTATTCTGCGGGGCTGTGCGGGGCT